TAGGTCCAGGCTCCTTGGCAACAGTAAGAAGAAAACAGCAATTTCTTTTGTTAAATCTGCTCTAGGAGAGAGCTTGTCTCATTAGGAGCAGAGGGATACACAGGCAGAAGGCATGCTGTTGCTTTCATATGCAGAATCACAAAAAATCAAGGACCTCTTCTCATATCTGTCTTCATATTGCTGCCATGAAGTCTATTCATTTCCATATTTTTAATTTTTTTATTTCTATATTTTTATAGCGGCTACAGGCAGGACATTGCTCTAAACTTAAAATGCCTTTTATATTGTACTGCATACAATACTAGAGAAAGCAATGACAGTAATGATAGTAAATCACATTAAGCCTTTACATGAGTAAACGTTTGCATGCTATACAGAATATCACACTTGTCTCTTTAGTCTTTCTTATTGAAGGTATGAAAGAAATTATTATCTTGCTTTAATAAATGATAGCATTGAGTACTCACAAGTTAAATGACTTGCAAGCATATGTTCTCATTCTAACCCTGTGTTAACCTTTTCATTATTGGTGTAATTATCAGTTGAATATAAAAAAATGCAAGATTTACCCAAGAGCATACTGAGTTAGAAGTAAGATAAATACATTCAATTTATATTAATTTATTACTCAAGGAAGTTTCGTGCTCTTAATTTTTAATTTGTTCATTTAATCAAAGCTGTAAGAACACTGAAAACTAAGTCTTTAATATATTATTTCTACCAAAATAGAAAAATACCTTAATTGGCATTGCCAAAAACTATGTAATTAAATAATAACTATGACTAGTGTACTTATTAAATTAGTTCAAAATAATATAAAAACCTCTTTAATTAGGGTGATTATACAGTTTAATATATGAGATATACAATTTAGTATAACTCATTATTGATAATGGTTCTGTAGACTGGGGAAATCTTTCAAGTAAAATGTAGCAAGATGCCAGATATGGGGGTACACACCTGGAATCAAAACAATTGGGAAGATGAGTCAGGAGGATCATGAATTTGAAGTCAGTCAGGGTAAACAGCAAGACCCTATCCCTCCTCCCAAATTAAAAACCACAAACCTCAAACAACAGCAAAATAAATGTAACAAAGTAAAGCAAACATCCTCCAAATTATGTTATACTTGACTTGATAATGTAAGTTTTAAAAATATTTTTTAAAAAGCAATTCCAAAACTAAAAATGTAAATTCAATTTTCCATAAGAATATTACTTATAATGCTAAAAGACTATACTATACCTAATACCTTCTGATTGACAAATGGTTTTAAAATGTACTAAGTAAACATAATATAAATCTAATAGATAAAAAGTTAAAAGTCAGGGATTATTAAAAATAAAAAACTATAGGCATATTCATATTAGTTTAGCAGATGCAGAACAGAAAATATATATGTAAGGAGAATTAAAATGCCATATTGAATTAATTAGGCTAACTACCATCACTTATTCACAAAGATTAAGAATTTAAAAAATGTGTTAATAACTAGGAATTTATTAATCATGAAAAGGAATCTGTGTTCAACTCTGCATTTTATCTAAAAAGCATGTAAATACTTAATTTAAATATGATCTTAAATTTGTCAGTAGCCAATTTAGGAAGAAACAAATTTAATTTTACTAGCCTGGCTGATTCTGTGATGGAGAATATCGAATATAGCTGATCCTTATACAAAACCAAGTAAACCACTATGCTTATTCTACCGATGAGATAAAAAGAAGAGAATAAAAAATAAGGGTATATCAGTTATTGCTAAGAGACTAAGGTTTCTTTGCTTTGCATAGGACATCTTTTAGACATTGCTCTTCAAGTAATAATTATCTTAGTAAGAGTAGTTGAGTGAATCATCGAGGCAATGGTTCTTGTTCTGGGGCCTTTGGTTCTGAGAAAGACATATATAGTTCTGTGGTTGTCCCTAACACAAAGCCTTGTTTTCTTTTATTCTCCTTGTTTCCCCATCTTTTTACACAGCACTTGTGTTGTGCAACTTACTGGATTAGGAAATTTTAGAAGAAACCGGAGTGCTAACACCATCTGAAACCATGTGTTGAACTCTAGAACTGAGATTGAGCAAGGGTCTTTGAGCAAGCATAATTTAGTTCTGATAAAAATTAAATGACATTTTAGAGTTGTCATGGATAGATCTCATGAAAGAAAAAAATCTCGATTAAATGCTCTTAGGAAGATAAGTAAAAAAAAAAAATGGTTAAGAACTTCTGTCATTGAATTTAACAAGTGACTACATAGTTAACAGATAGTTTCCCAGGCTACAAGCATACAGGCACACATGACCAAGGCAAAGGGGTTGGCATGCTGAAAGAATCAGAGGTTCATGCTTGCAATGGAGAGTGAGATCTAAGCTGACACACTGTACAAATCCATGTCTAGGGTCATATTTTCCTAGGTTTATTACACATCAGGAAGATAAGCAAAGCATTAAATATGGCAGAGGGGAGTAACTGAGAGATGAAACAACTGCCTGAAAGCCCAGCAAACCTCATTATAGATACAATGCTCAGAATAGTATATAACTGCACACATCTATTAAAATGAATCTCAGGTTAACACTCATTTCATTGCTTCATCTTGAGGAATCTTTGGGGAAAATGCTACAGTCTCCCTCACTATATAGCTGGGGAAATAGCTTGCAATTTCCCAAAGAAACAAAAGCATTAAGTGATGGAACCCAATGCAAATCCATGTTCTCAGTGTACTATTACATTGTTTCTGATCAGTGTCTTCAAGATTTCTGGTTCACAAGGGATAAAAAGAAGAGCTGAAGAAAGCTGTGAGCAGAGTACCATTAAAGTAGCTATTGAAAAAATCGTCATCATGTAGTGTCACTGTGGACTCTGCTAATGTCACTGTTAGAACTCAGGACAGGAAATAATTATAAAGACCATTCTACCCAAGTCACAGTGAATATGTACTCTATTTAAAGAGGAGGAAGGTACTATAGAACACATTTATTTTTCTTTTCAAGGATATTTTCAAAAGATTGTTTTTGAAACATTTTATGACTTAAGAGTGGCAAGCTTTTGCTTACTAGACTTTTTCTCCTTCTAGATCAACTAGACATTATTGCATTAATCTTTTTTATTTTAAACAAACTAAAACATGCAGAAATTGTACAAGGTAAAGGATCCAAAGTGTGAAAAGGTGAATAAAGCCCTGGCTATGATACTTAGGACAGAGCATAAGAAGATGATTTTCTCAATACTCCTGTATTCTCACTTCTAAAGATAAAAGCTGTGCAAATCTTAAGATTTTTTAATCTTAAGAATTCTTTTCCAGCTCTAGTAGTTATGCATTACATGTGTCCCAGTTGCCTTTGGGAGGGAAGTAAAATAAAATTGAACTGAAGAACTGCAAGCAATACTGCATCCTTAATTGCATCTTAATCTTGAAGAAATTATTTTGTGTATGTGAGTGTGTGCATGTATATGCATGCCAGCCCAGGGGTTTGAATTCAGAGCCCAAGCACTATCCCTGTGCTTTTGTACTCAAGGCTAGCACTCTATAACTGAGTCACAGCTCCACTTCCAGTTTTTCTGGTGGTTAGTTGGAGACAAAAGTCTCAAGACTTTCCTGCCTGGGCTACCTTTGAAATGGGATACTCAATCTCAGCCTCTTAAGTGGCTGGGATTATAGGTGTGAGCCACTGGGGCCTGGCTAACTTTGAATAACTTTTATGTTGGCATCCTTCGGCATGGTAGTCAAAGTATGATTGTTTTGTGGATCTGAAAAAAAAGAAGTATTATTTTTCCTGCAAATATATGTCAAATGGATCATGCAGATAGAAAGCAAATGTACCTTATTAGATTCTTTAAAAAGTTTGTTTATTCATTAAACCACTCTAGCAGAAGATATTATAGTGGATTAAGTAGCTCTACAAAAAAGTGAAGATGGAGATGGCTCAGTGGTAGAGAGCTTGCCTTGCATGCCTGAGGCCCTGGGTTCGATTCCTCAGCACCACATAAGCAAAATGAAAAAAAATTCCGGAAGTGACGCTGTGGCTCAAGTGGTAGAGCGCTAGCCTTGAGCTGAAGAGCTGAGGGACAGCGCCCAGGCCCAGAGTTCAGGCCCCATGACTAGACCCAAAAAAAAAAAAAAAAAAAGTGAAGATGATGTGACTGAGTATATTTAGTTATACTCCTGTTTTACTTAAATATAGTTTCTTTCTAAAAAAAGAAAATAATTCTTAGCTCAGTCAGCAGTGCTACTCATTCAGCTTAAGGTGCTCTATAAAGAGTTTCTCTGCAACACTGAAAGCCTGCTGAATACAGTGGTGGTTAAGAATCTTTTTGACTAGATAAGAAGTCCAGAAGTGTGGAATGCCTATAATCCTAACTACTCCTTAGCTGAGGATCTGAGGATCTGAGGATCTCGGTTGGAAGTCAACCTGAGCAGGAAAGTCCTTGCTACTCTTATCTCCAATAAACTACTCAGAAAAAACTGTAAGCAGTACTGTGGTTCAAGTGGTAGAGCACTAGACTTGAACACAAAGAAACTCAGAGACAGCATTCAAGCCCATAGGTCAATCCCCAGGACTGGCAAAAAAAAAAAAAAAAAAAGAATCTAGAAGTTTGGAAGAGCACTGACAATTCCAGAAATCTGTGAAGTTGCTCCTAAGATGACTGGAATTTCAAGTTCAGGGGGAGATTTAATAATAAGATGTGTGACTTTGGAACTTGGGAAGGCTCCTGAGATTCCAGGAGAAATATGCTAGTTTGTACATGTAAGCTTGAGAACCACAGGCTCTTGAGCCTACCAGCAGACCACTAATTGAATGGCAGCCCCATCCCAATGCACTCTTTTGACCACATATAAATGGAGTATATAGGGGAAGAACAAATGGTATGTCAATTTACACATGTGCACATATTTTAAACTCTAGTGAGGAATTAGAACATGATGGCTGCATTCTATCAGTAGTGCTTAGCATTTGGCCATGGAAGACAAAGCAGGTAAGGACCAAAAGTGGAAGAACTTACAATGTAGCAGGGCTCGCAGTAGGCTTTCTTCTCCACCGCATAGAAGGGCTGCCCTCGGAGCTTGTTGCTGCAGATGATGCAAGTGAAACAGTCCACATGGAAGACCTGATCCATGGCAGTGCATCCTGTACCTTCCCCAACCACATTTTCCCCACAGCGAGCACAACGGCCTGCAAGAAAAAGAAGTTTGCTACAAACAATGCACTTCTTGGATCGTTTTCTTTTCCTTTCCTTTCCTTCTTTTCTTTCCCTTTCTCTTTTCCTTTTCCCTTCCCTTCCCTTCCCTTCTCTTCTCCCCTTCCCTTCTTTCCCTTCCCTTCCCTTCCCTTCCCTTCCCTTCCCTTCCCTTCCCTTCTCTCCTCTCCCTTCCCTTCCCCTCCCTTCCCTTCCTTTCTTTGTTTTGTTCTTCCTTTCCTTTCTCTATCACCAGCACTGGGTCCTAAACTCAGTGCCCTTAACCTTTTTGTCCAAGGCTGGTGCTCTACCACTTGAGCCACCCATCCAATTTTGACTCTTTTCTGGTCAATTGTAGATATGAGTCTCAGATTTTCTCTCCCAGGCTAGCTTCAAACCATGATTTTCATATTTCAGCCTCCTGAGTAGCTAGGATTACAGGTATAAGCCATCAGTATCTGGTTTACTCTTGGATCTTTCTAAAGAAGCCAATGTCAGGAAATTAGTGTTGGGGCTGGGAAGGTAGCTCAGTGGTAGAGTGCTTGCCTTGCATGCATGAGGCCCTGGGTTTGATTCCTCAGCACCACATAAGCAGAAAAAGCTGGAAGTGGTGCTGTGGCTCAAGTGGTAGAGCGCTTGCCTTGAGCTGAAGAGCTGAGGGACAGCACCCAGGCCCCACAACCACCACCACCACCAACAAAAAGTAGTGTTATGCTTCTATATTACAAGTTTAAGAGGAATACAATTCAAAATGCTGGCAATGAAAGTCACAATCTACAGAATAATCCAAGAAAGTCTTTCTCTGTGGAGAGTCTAGGCCTCCAGTAAGAATGTGAAGTATGTGGGTATGAACTCAAACTCCAATTCTTCTCACAAAAGCTTTGGTTGTCAAACCTCTGCAGTCAGCCCTGTGACCGGGAGATCACACAGTAGTCAGTCTCTTATTTTCAGAGAACTCTGACTGCTGAAAAATAATCTCTCCCATGAGACCCAGGATATACCATCTTTACTCTAATAGCTACCTATTACTTACAGTTCTGTCTTCTAGGGCTCATGAAAAAATTCTCTTATTTTGGACTTGATGCCTTCTAGTATACTAATAATTCAGTTAGTGCTGCTTCTCATTCTGTTCTTTAGTTCGAGTATCCTTAGATCTTGCAATGGTTTCTCAAACTGTGATGCTAATAGCACTCCTGACCTGACCCTGGTTGTCACTATCTACCTAGTATTCTGCAAAACTAGAGCATTCTTAAATCTACCAATGGGGAATCTGATGTGGATATGGACATCAAATTAGGCAAAATAAATAAACATGTTAAGTTTTAAATACTAATAGTAAAGTATAACTTAAGACACATTTAGGATTGTATGGTAGCTCAGTGATACAGTACTTGCCAGCATACCCAAGAAGCTATAATTCCCAGCACCACCACCACCAACAACAACAACAAAAAGAAAAACACAAACAAAAAACAAAGGAGAAAATCAAAACCACAAAACCATATTAAGACACAATATCAGTGAGAGTCACTATACTACCTGTGATCTGTATCTTTATCTGGTTTTTCTTTCTTTCTTTCTTTTCTCTCTCTCTCTTTCTTTCTTTGTCTTCCTTCCTTCCTTCCTTCCTTCCTTCCTTCCTTCCTTCCTCTCTCTCTCTCTCTCTTTCTTTCCTTCCTTCCTTCCTTCTCTTTCTTTCTTTTTGTTTGTTTGCTTGGGCACTCTACCTAAGCTCTTGTGCTCAAAACTAGCACTCTATCACTTTGAGCCACAGCCCCACTTCTGGTTTTCTGGTGGTTAATTGGAGATAAGAGTCTCAAAACCTTTCTTGCCTGGGCTGGCTTTGAACAGCAATCCTCAGATTTCAGTCTCACCAGTAGCTAGGATTATAGGTGTGAGCCACTGGCATCTGGCTTTATCATGGAATTCTTGAGCTAGCAGCAAGGTTATGTCTGATTTCCTCTTTATTATTTGTTTTGACTAACTAAAAGAAATAATAGGTAAATAGAGACCATTGAATATATCAGGAAGTAATTGCAAACTTTTGCATATAAATTATAGCAAACCTAGTGCTTCATAGATGTCAGACATTTTTTTAAACCTGGATTTCTCTAATTTCAAATATACCACAATTTATAGTTAGATAGGAAACTGAGTCACAAAAATGGTTAACCTTAAGCCCAAGCAGTCTAGCTTTAGTGTCTGTATTCCTAACCATTCTGCACAGTTGCCTTTTCTGGTGTGGGTACATCAAGATCTGCTATTCTGGAGCACTGTGGACTGACTTTTCACAGGGGGTCCTTTCAGCACCCCATCACACTGGATTGACAACCACTTCACACACAGAACTGGGAGGACTAAATATTTCAACTTAGGAGAAAAGAGTGAATATATTTCTAATTCTCTCTGGGCTGCACTTTTCTGTGGGAAGTATTCCTTTATATTCTGTTGCAGGATTAGAAAATGTGTCTTTTAAATAAGACTCAAATTATCCAATCATTTAATATGTATGTGTGCGTGTGTGTGTGTGTTGTTGTTGTTTGCTGCTGCTGATGTTGTTGTTACTGGGGCTTGAACTTAGGTCCTTGGCTATCTTACTTATTTTTTGTTTGCTCAAGACTAGGGGACTCTCTTTCTTGAGCTATAACTCTACTTCTGGCTTTTTGATGGTTAATTAGATAGGGACTTTTGAATTTGTCAGCCCAGGCTGGCCCTGAACTTTGAGCCTCAAGTCTTAGCCTCTTGAATAGTTAGGGTTAGAGGTGTGACCCACCAGTACCCCCCTCAACAGTTAATATTAAATATCATATTCTTGACACTTGATCTTTTTGTATAGAATTTGCAAAAGACTTGGTAGCTGGTTTTTAAAAGTTCTAACCTAAAGATATTATACCTATTTTTATTATTAGACATATAATTGAGAAGACTTTAAAATTCTTCTACTTTTTTTGGGGGGGGGTCTGGTCATGGGGCCTGAACTCTGGGACTGGGCGCTGTCCCTCAGCTCTTCAGCTCAAGGCTAGCGCTCAACCACTTGAGCCACAGCGTCACTTCCGGCTTTTTTTCCTTTTGCTTATGTGGTACTGAGGAATCGAACCCAGGGCTTCATGCATGCAAGGCAAGTGCTCTACCACTGAGCCACCTTCCCAGCCTCTACTTTTGTTTCTTATTACATATGTTATTGTGATTATTATAAAAACAAAACTCAAAATCCTTATTGCTTTACAAGAAAGTTAGCTATGCTATGCTTACAAATAACGCTAAAATTCTGAGCATTTCATGTCATCAGTGAACAACATCTCATTAGGAAAACATAGGACATTAACATAAAGGTGCCCTTAATCTATGTGAATGCTAATAAGAACATATTAGTTTCTTTTTGAAATGGTAACTTTAAAAATAGTATAGCTGTTAAATCAAAGTCAATGAAATTATTTTTCTCTATTACTCTTTTCCTTTTCCTAAAAGGCAAAAAGGATCACTTGACAAAACATCAGACCCTTACCAGGAATCTGTGGATCACACATTGAAAACAAATAATTCTGGATGAGTAGAGAATAGACTATTGATCATAGTGGTATCTTCGGTAGCTATAGGTGGCATTTTAAAAAATCTAGATCACAAATGCTCAAAGTAAAATATGTAGTGTCCAAGAGCTGGAGCGTATTTGGTTTATGAATAGTTAGATACCTATGTATGTGCATCTACGAGGAAACTTTTATCAGTGATGTAAGGGTAAAGATCATGTTGGAGAGATAATCTTTGAATTTTCAGTGTACTCAACACAGCCCAGCATCTACTCTGAGCATTGCTACAGTTTGCTCCTGGGTAACATTACAAATGGATTAAGCATCATGGGCACCTTTTATAACTCTGAGACTACATACCTCCAACAATCACATGAAGAAATGTATGGCACAACACAGTTATGGAAATATGCAAGGAAAATCACCTCTGAGAGGGTTGGGTAAAGGTTTTATGGAGAAATAAACATTCGATTTTGACATTTTTTTAATGGGATTAGACAGGTGGGGATGGAAGAGAGAGAAAAACAACAAGAAAAAAAAAACCTCTAGGTTTTCCAAAGAAGGAATGAGTGTTTCTGGTTTGCCAGATTCAAAAATACTGCGGTACCTGGGGATGAGACAATTGAGTTTTGTCTTCTCAGTTTATGAAAGCAGATGGACTGTATTCGTAAAAACAACTTTCTTCTTAATGCTTGAAGAATATTCTCTCAGAGTGGGTCAGGCTCAAGTGTTGAACCCAAACGTGACCAGCTCTGCCTTCTGTACTTTTCCTATTCTTGAGATAAATTGGGGACACTGGCCTCAAGGGCAGTCAGTCTGGCACCTTAAAAATTCACAAGCTTAGAAAAAAAGAGCGAAGAACCGAAATTAAAAATAGCTCTACCCATCAGCAACACAAAAAGGTGCCCAAATGTTCCCTTTTCACATTAACAAAAATATACAAACTAAGCCTTTTAGAGAAGCATTTGAACTGCAAAGAAAGCTTTTCAAGCACACAGAGAATCCCTGCCTCTAGAGGGACTTGCACTACACTTTATTAAAAGCACACTACAAACTTAATGCCCATCTCTTAGACAAGTGTCTCGGCAGTTTAAACAAGAAAAGCCAGAGGAATGGTGCCAAGCGTCAAGGCATCAGAGCATGAAGGAAACACAGATGATCTGAGGGCAGTTAGAAGCCAGAGCTCTGTTGCAGGGCTGGTGTGAAGAATGCCTTCGTGGTGCTCAGCACAACAAATTTAAAGAACCAAGAACAGTGGCCCAGAGAGCCTGCCAATTTTGTCTGTGAATGAAGTTTCATAAAACATCCACATCTAAATCTTGCTTATCCATTATTACATGTTTTTATACAGCTTTACATTGTCTGTGGTGCCACCTGTGGATTCTTCCCACCCTTCTTCTGTTTCCTACCTTCAGTAATCTTGCCAGTATTTCTGAAGCACTGGCTTTCTATCATCATGCTTAGCAGTA